GTCGCATTACAGCAGTAAAAAAGGGTTGCAAATGTCAATTCACGTTGACTTTAAATCCAACATATGCTAGACAACGTGTTTGTGCAGTGCAGTGTTCCCAATTTTATAGGGATAAGGAAAAATACATTATGACAATAACACCAGAAAAAAAACATTTTACATAAATTGGACTGAGGTATTTTAAAATATTTTCCTTCAAATTAAGGTTTTCTTCAGGCACCTTTAAAATACTAAAATGTGGTCACTTTGCTTATCTTAGGTCTAAACCTTGATCTACTTGACATATGAAAGCATGGAAAAATAACTAAGATAAAAAGGCAAGCTGAGGCTTTGTTTTGCTGAATGCTCTTAGGTCAATCAGAAATTATATATCTCCTGGCAGAGCCTGGGCTGAACAGGTGCATAAGGGTCACAGCCTATTTGTAGGAACAAAGTAAACGGGGAACTAGGCTTGTTCCTAAAAATGTGCTCTGACTCGATTTTTGGTCCTTATATCTGTCTATTGATATATTAAACAGATTACATGAATGAAAACTTGAGTTTTTATTTTTTTATAGAAACATATTTAAGTGGTCAAATCAGTAAGTGTTGGAAAGGTACAATGTTGGAGACAGTCCTAGAGAAAGACATGTAGGCTATCTGAGCACTGAAGCAAATCTGTCTCATGAAGACAGGCATGAAAAGTGCAACGCTAGCACTGTTCAGGATTATCAGAAGGTTAATTAGCCAACTGGCTTTACTGGAATTAGTCAGAATACTCATAGCAACATGAAATATTTGAATGGCATGTGCTGCAGTGAGGCTGATGATTTTGGGGATGGATTGTTTTCTGATGTGTTCCCAAAGTCCTCAAAAACATGACAGTGTCGTAAGAAAAAAAAAATCTAGGGCTTGTAACATTAGGGGAACAATGGATTGAGGTTCAAGGAAGGAAAACAGTTTATATCAATGTGTATTAGATATAGAGAGAGGATGAATAAATAATAATTGTAGTACTGGCAGGTGAGAATATTTCAGGACTCCTTTTTAAAATTACATTTAGAGATCGAATAAGAAGTTGATGTAGAGTAGATACAGTGATACAGTGTTTAAAATCTGAGCCACAATTTTGTTTGTCTTTCCAGTTAGTGTCATCATATTTTATTTTATAGACTAAAGCTTTACATTGTTCAGTGCTCTTAATTTTGGCTGTTGTACAAATCATTAGATCAATATGTCTGTCTTGGTAAATCTAATGTGTTTAATGTCTCTGGTGATTTTATTTGTGCAATGCTTAAAATGAGCTCAGCTGAACTTTAGGACCCAAGTAATTCTAACTGAAAGTGTCTTGTATTTCTAATACAATTAATAGTTTCAATAAAACATGCTTGAAATTTCATATAATGTCTCTGTCTCAAGGCAAGCAACAAACTATTGTATGTAATGCAGACACAAACCCAATGTCTCGCATGAATGCACTCAAACCTAATGATGTCTGAATTACTTTTTACAAAGGAAGAAAAGTCATTGAATTACTCCGATTAAGAAAGCCAAGCTCATTGACTGACTAACAGTGTCAAAGTGTTTCTTTCTTTTAGAAAGAATAAAAACATGGTTTATGGGGTGAGAAAGACTAATCCCCACATGGTGGCGCTTATGTCCCACTTTTCAAAAGTATGAAATGTGACTGCATATTTTAGTTTTTTTGTTTGATTGTTTGTTTTTTGTACAGCTTTCATAGACTTCTATCCTTTTTATACTGATCTAACAATATTTTATATCCACTAAAACTAAATCTACCCCTAAACACCCTCACAGAAATCTTTTTGCATTTTTAAATTTTTAGATAAACATCATTTAGATAACCCGAGCTCAGCTGAACTTTAGGACCCAAGTAATTCTAACTGAAAGTGTCTTGTATTTCTAATACAATTAATAGTTTCAATAAAACATGCTTGAAATTTCATATAATGTCTCTGTCTCAAGGCAAGCAACAAACTATTGTATGTAATGCAGACACAAACCCAATGTCTCGCATGAATGCACTCAAACCTAATGATGTCTGAATTACTTTTTACAAAGGAAGAAAAGTCATTGAATTACTCCGATTAAGAAAGCCAAGCTCATTGACTGACTAACAGTGTCAAAGTGTTTCTTTCTTTTAGAAAGAATAAAAACATGGTTTATGGGGTGAGAAAGACTAATCCCCACATGGTGGCGCTTATGTCCCACTTTTCAAAAGTATGAAATGTGACTGCATATTTTAGTTTTTTTGTTTGATTGTTTGTTTTTTGTACAGCTTTCATAGACTTCTATCCTTTTTATACTGATCTAACAATATTTTATATCCACTAAAACTAAATCTACCCCTAAACACCCTCACAGAAATCTTTTTGCATTTTTAAATTTTTAGATAAACATTATTTAGAAAACCCCCCCCCCCCAACTGCTGGCTGGTCCCCACAAGATGAAAAATGTCAGGTTTTACTATCCTTGTGGGGTCATTTGGTCCCCACAATGAAGGACAAACCTGTACACACACACACACACACACACACACACACACACCTGCATATCTCCTGTTTCCTTTACAATTATTATAATTGCAAATCACAATAAATGCCATTTATATATGCCCAAGTGTATAATCAACAGCAAATGTGTCTTCTAAAACTCAGTAGTGGTGAAGTGTGGTATTGCACACTGCTGGGTGAGTCGACTACAGCTGAAGCTGGCACCATTCTCATGCATATGCTGTCCTCCTATATTTAGGGCTGATAATGTTCAGCCACTTTTTATGGCTGCTCCACGCTTTCCCTGCTTAGATTCCATTTATGAGTGGATCCTTCCTGAATTGACAAATATAGAGAGAATCTGACGACTTCTCGGGTTCATATGGTGGAAATGACGTAAGTGAGAAAAGTGATATAATAAGCATTGTCTCTGAGACAGGTGGGAAAATGCCAACAGAAATGATACTTCTTGACTGGCAGAAAATTTATGGAGTAATGAAAGAGAATTATATTATTTATAGGAATTTTACTGTACTGAATGATTGTATTTATATATATATATATATATATATAGTATATATACTATACTATATATATTATACTATATATACTATATATATATAGTATATATAATATACTACAGCTATTTTGAGCCATGTCATATTAATGTAACATATAAAAATAAATTTAGCACAATTACGGGGCCCACTATTGGATTTAAAAGGTGTAAATCCTCTCACAAGTGGAAGGTGATTAATGAAAGAAGAAAAAGTGCAAATCTACAACAGCCCTTTTGCCCTGTGCAGCTATTTGATAACTATATGCAATCACCCAGTCTCTCTCCTTCTCTCTATATTTAGCCAGTGAAGCATATTTAAGTTTGGATTGATTGTAATATTCAAGTTTGAATACTCCAGTGCCTTTTTGCTGCCAGAAAGTGGAATGTGCTAAACACTCCCACTCAACCTGGCTGATGATTTTATGTGGAATGCAAAGCCTGTACTGTCCAGTTGCGGGGAACTTAAGCCCGGTGGACCCCAGCTTGTGGTTATTTTACAGTGTGG